TCATAAGTTATAAAATTAAAACTTATTCATATCGCATTTTATCTTGTTTACAAACATTAACAAAATAATCTTACAAAGATATTATATAACTTTAGAAAAATAAATACAGATTCTTCTTTCTCTTTAAAATAAATATATTGTAAGATAAATAGTAAAATCAAGAAATATTAATCTCTTAACAGTTTTTATATTAGTAAAAGATAATAGAAATAATATTTTCTTAAAGATATAATAAAATTTGATTAATTATCTATTATAAATAAACTAATAAAAAAATTATTAATCTTATAGAATATTAATATATTAATATTTATTATTTATTATATATTATTAAATAATAATTTGATATTAGAAATTAAAAAAAAACTTTATCTAAGTAAAAAATATTAAATAAGATGATTAAAATTTATATAAAATTATAAAAATTAGACTATTAAAGATTAATTAAAAATTATATGATTTAATAAGTCTAAGTTTAAGATTTTTAATTCTAATAAAAAGTAATATTACTGAAAATATTTAAATAAGTTATTAAATCAATTTTATATTAAATTTATAATAAAATTTAGAATAAATTAGTAATAATTTAAAGATGCTATATATTTCAAAATATTAATAATTTTTATAAGTTGGTAAAATAATAACTATTAAATTATATTAACAAATACTTTATAAGAATCTTATGAATACTATTAAAAATTATAAATTTACTGTTATAAATATCATATTCAAATAAGATAAAGATTTTAAGTATATAATAAATTTGATGAAATAGTGACTTAGAAATAATAAAATTAAAATATTAGATTAATTATTATAATTTTCTAATCTAATCTTATTAAATATTTATAGAATAAGATTAATTACCATAAACTGCTAATCAAAAGTCCTAGAGTACTTAACATTTTCATCCTATTTAGTAGGGTACTTTACATAGGAGGGTATATTGGTCAGAAGGGGGTACAACTGTGTATAGTATCTGGGTATTACACTTGGGTATTATATATTTTAGAAATACTTGTAGATCACAAATTTTTAATTGTATATACGTAAAAAAATATGCTTTTTCATCAAAAAATAGTTTGTGTAAATAAATCAAGCAAAAGAGCAAGAGCAAGTTTTACTCAAAAATTGCATCAATCTTGGTGTATCAGAGAAAAGCTAATGGTTCTTCATTATCTTTAACACTATAAAAGTATCTGTGAAACAGCAAAAAAGTTTGATATTAAGTCCAAACAAGTACATGACTGGAAAAACAAGATACAAGAGTTAAGATCTGTAGCACCTCATATTTTAAAACTTCATAAAGAAAAGCCAGCTGTATATCCAGAATTAGAAATATTTTTGGCTGATTAGATTCAAGATATGCATAATTCTGGAAAAGCAGTTTAAAGAAAGACAGCAATCCAAAAAGCTATGTCTCTTGTAGTAACAAATGAATGGAAAATTATTATTCTAGAATTCAAGATTTCAAATTTTCAGAAAAGTGGCTTGATGCTTTTATGACTCATCATAATTTATCTACTTGATGACAAACTACTATTGCTTAGCATCTTCCTGCTGATTTAATTGAAAAACAAGAAAGCTTTTTAAGCTTTGTTCTTTAATATCGAATTCAACATGACTATTCTTTGAAATTCATTAGCAATATAGATGAAACTCCATATATATTTGATCATCCAGTTGCAATAATAATTGACCAATGTGAAACTAAAACTGTTAATATTCATATAACTGGCAATGAAAAAAGAAATTTTACAGTGATTTTAGCTTGTATGGCAGATGGTACAAAATTATCATCTTTGTGCATTTTCAAATTGAAAAAAGTTTGATGAGAAATCTTTCCTAAAGAGATTTTTGTTCAAGCTAATGCAAAAGGATGGATGAATGAAGAAGAAATGTTATAGTAGATTGAAAAGATGTGAACCAAAAGAAATTCCTATGGAAATTCACAATCTCTTTTTGTTCTAGATTCCTTTAAAGGACATCTAGTAGATAGTGTAAAATAATAATTTGTTGAGAAAAACACAAATATTGCCATAATTCCTGGAGGTTTGATCTCAAAATTGCAATCTTTAGATGTTGCAATTAATAAGTATTTCAAAGCAAAGGTAAGTTTATTCTTTTTTACTATATTAATATTATGTATAATATTAATTTATTATTTTTAGATGTGTAAGTTATAGAATGATTGGATATTACAAGATATACATCAACTTACTACAGCCAGTCAAATCCAGAAACCATTCTATATCAAGTTAACAGAATGGATCAAAACTGTGTGAGATGCCATTGATCCTGATCTTATTATGCGAGTATTTAAATATTGTGGAGTTTTAACTGAAACAGATGATTTAGAAGATAATTTATTATTTGATTATGATCAGATAAGTAGTACAACTGAGGATTATACAATGGTAAATATTACTCAAGAGGAAGAAGAGGAAGCAAATGTGAATTTAAATTATGATTCAGAGAATAAGACATATCAAAATAATTGGAATAACAAAATAAGTGAAAGTCTATCTCAAATTGTTAGTATAGATAAAGATTTATTAAATGATGTAGCAGATAATGCAGGTAAAGATTCATCGCATAATACATGTGGTATGGTGGGTAATATGAGTGGAAATTTATATCAAAGTTTTAGTGACGAGAAAGAAATTGAATATTAATATTTTGTTATATTATCAATAAACTTTTTGTATATATGTAGAATGCTGAATATTGTATTCTTTTTTCTTTTTATTTTAATAATAATAATTAGGTATGATCGTAATAGGAATGCTTTACAAGCTGTTATGCTATGCTTAAATTTCTAAGCCACCTACTATGTTTAATACCTGGGGTACTTGATAAATCATGCTTAAATTTTTAATATATATACCATGCATAGTATTCGGGTACTTTACAAAAATAGGATATCAAAAAGAGAGAGGATACTTTAGTCAGAGGGATACTTTGGTTAGCGATTTATGGTAAGTCAATCAATATTTCTAAATTTTAATTATTTTTAGATCTTGCTAGTTATTATTAAAAATTTATTATAGATTTTTCTATAATTATTTTGTCACTTATAATTTTATTTTACAAAGATTATGAATATATTTGAGATGAATCAGAATAAAAAGCATTTGATAATTTGAAATAATATTTAATTACTATACTTATCTTTATTTTGCCAGATTCTAAATTATTTTTTATTATTATAACTGATATATTTAAATTTATTATAGAAGTTATACTTAATTAAAATTATGAAAAAGAAGATTAATTTGTTATTTATAAATTATATAAATTATTTTTTATTAAGTAAAATTATTTAATTCATGAAAAAAAATTACTTATTATTGTGTATATTATTTATTTTTGAAAATTATACTTGAAATAATAATATTTTGTATTATTACTAATCATATATTATTTAAGTATATTAAAATATAATATAATCTTTCTAAAAGATAAGCTTATTAATTAAAAATTTTATAAGCAAATAATTTTATTATTAAATATAAACTAAATAAAAAAATATTATCACTAATATATTATTTTATCTATTTTAAGCAAATAATATTACTATAATTTTTACATAACTAATTAATAAAAAAAAATTATAACAAGAATATAGGATTATTTTATTAATAATTATAAATAAGATAAAATATAATAGGAATAGTTTCAATTTATAATTTATAATTTTATTATTTGAATAATATTCAAATTTAAAATTAATTTATAGAATAAAAAATATATATTTATAGAAAAAGAAATAAATATAAAATATAAATAAATTATAAATAATTAATTTAATAAAAATATATATGATTAAATAGAATTAATTTATATTTCTGAAGAATAATTAATTATAATTTAATAAATTATAAAATATAATAAATAATAATATAAATAATAATAAAAAAGAATAAGTAAAAATATAAAGAAAATATTAATTAAAAAATATTAATAATCTAAATTAATAATAAGAATATATATAATATATAATATATTAAATCTAATTAATTAAATATATAAATGATCATTTGTATATTCAATATAAAAATAATCTTCAAAAAAAGTAATACAAAAGCTAATTTATTATATAGATAATACAAAATAAAGATCTAATTTAAAAGAAGATAATTTAATTAAAATTATTACATACTGTTATCTTTTTGATATAAGTATTAATTAAGGAGTAAGTATAATTCTTAAACTATTAAAAATATATATTTTTACTAAAAATTATAATATAAAAAAATTTTTTATAGTATATTAATAAAAATATACTTTTCTACTAGAAATTATTATTTTTAAAAATAAGTAACAATAATATTTTTTAATGTAATTAACTAAAATATAATTCAATTTTAAAGTATAATTCAAAGACAGATATATAATTAATTTATTAATAAGACAAACTAATAAATCTCAATCAAGATCCATTCTACAAGAAATATTTCTTAAAATTCTCTTTAACTATAATTTACTTAAAATATGAATTAAAAACTAGACTTATAAAACTCAAACTAACTATTTTTCTAAATATTTAACTATTTTTTTTACTAGTTAAAATATATTACTTTTATATATTTTAAAGATTATATAAATAATACTTTTATTATGATACTTATACTACTTTTATTATAATTTAAATATTACTTTAGCTAATATTATAATATTGATTTTATTATAATAGTATTATTAGTTTTACTATAATAGTTTTGCTAACTTTACTATAATAATTTTATTATAATTATAATTATTTAAAAATATTTACAAATAATATTTTTTATAATTAAGATATAAGTAATTAATTATCTAATAATATTATAATATGAAGTAATTAATAATAAATAATTAATTAATATTCTACTAAAAAAAAATTTATATCATAATAGGATCCTCTTCATTAGTATTTTATTTTATAAATTTAATACTGAATATCAAGTTTCTATAAGACTTAGTAATTTTTCAAAATTATTATTAATTATTCTTTCTAACTTTATTAATAATAACTTTCTTAAACTTAAAATTACTTATTTTAGAATATGTTAAAATAGTTTACTAATTCTACTGATAATTTTCTAATATTAAGATATCATATTTTTAATCATTACTTAAGAGAGTTTATTATAGAAATAACTTTTCTCTGATTAAGTTTATAGTTATAATGATATCTATTATTTTTCAATCTGTCTATAATATATTAAAATTAATATTTCTATTAGATAGTATTATAGCAGTTATTTCTAACTTTCAAGATGATTTTTGTTCTTGATTTGCAAGTTGATAGTATTTTTGAAAGAGTTTAAATAAATAATTAAAATAATTTCTATTAATAAATTAAATAAGAAAGTTATTTATAATAAAATAATATTTTATAAATAAGTATAATATAGGATAAATATACTAAATTAAATAATAATATAATATAATTAATTAAAATTATAAAAATTTTAAATTAATATATTTTTCAAATAAATTATATAAAAGAAGATTTTCTAAATAAGTAGATTTATAATATAAACTGATTTTCATATCTTATTATAATATGTAATTTTATAATTTAGACTATATTACTACTAATCTAGATATTAGTATATTCTTATATTATATCAAATAATTGCTTAATCATATAATTTTTATGATATTCTCTAAATTAATTTGAATTTTATATTTATTTATTATTTTATAATTAATTTTTTTTCTATTTTTATAGCTAAACTATACTTTTTTATTATCTATTTTATTATTAGTAATAATTAAAGATGGTACAGTAAGTATGTAATGCTTATTTGTCACCTGTTATAACATGTTGCAACTCTAAAATTTTATAAGTCACAACTAGTTATAATTAGATGATACTTTATTTATCACTACGTTGCAACAGTTGAGAAGTTATCTTTAGTAATAATATAGTTTTCTTGTAGATTTTTTTGAATTTGAGAAAATAAAAACTTTATCTCATTACTGATATTTACTCTTTATTTTTTCTTGTTATAATTAGATAAGTTTATTTTATTATTAAGTTGTGAAGTATTATTTTCTTAAAGAACTATTATTTTTCTATTTATATTTTGTTTATTATATTATATTACTTGATTATTATAAGAATAATAATTTTAATATTATATATAATATTAAACTTTTTTTATTCTTAAAATTCAAAATTTCAAAAATTTAAGAAAGTAAAAAAGTTATAATATTATATTATTATTTTCTTTATTATCTTTATTTTTTTTAATTATTAGGATTATTAATTATTTTTTAATTATAACTATTATTAACTTTATTATAATCTTTTTTTATTTCTTAGATTATAGATAAATTATTATTATTTTTATTATATTCTTGATTATTTAATCAGTATTTAATAAGTTATATAACTTTATATTCTAAATATTAATTAGTTTTAATATCTTTCAAAGTTAGATCATGACTTCTAAAATTAAAGCTATATATTTTATAAAGTAATATTAGACTTTTTAAATATTATGACAAATAAGAAAGAAACTTCTCTTTTTTTAATTTAATATATTTTTAAGAAAATATAGAAAGATATAATTCTTTATTTATATTTTAATAGTATTTAAGATAAATAATAGAGTAAGAAACTTTCTATTCTTTTCTTATATTTAAAGATAGAATTCCTTCTTTTTCTTTCTGAAAATTAATTGATAATAAATAAGTAATTTTTTCTTTATCTTCTTTAATTAAATTAATAATAAATTTCTCTTTTTCATTATTAATAAAGCATAATTTATAATCTCTATAATTCATTCTTTTTTTATTTTTATATTAATAGTAATGATAATTTTGCAAATTATATTGATAATCTTGATATTGTAACCAATTAGCTTATTCGTGTGGCGCAGTAGACGTGGCGCAGCATATGGCGCAGCCGCAGCACGTGG